GGGTGCACTGTTACAGGCGGACCAGCGCATCCGCAGCTTATGCGAGCAAGAAACTCGAGGCCCTACAATGTCAGATAATCCAAGTTGATTAGTGTGCCCTTCACGACTAGCTGAAATACTGTACAGGCGTCGAAGCACTTTCGTCGAGCAAGTACATTACAATGACTACAGCCAATTCCGCAGAAGCATTATTCCGCGCAAGGCGTTCCCTGTCTGCGCTCAGAGCCTCTGAGCAAGTCGTCCATCTCGTTTGAATGGTGATGTGCGGACCGGGCATCAAAGCCCATGAGCCCGCCAAGCCCAGCCCAAAAAGCCTGGCAGCGGGCTCAAGGCCGGGCTCGGAGTGTGGTCGAGCCCAAGCCCGACCCGGAAGCCCAGGCTTGGGTGCACCGGCTCTGTTACTATTCCTTGAGTTCAGAAGAGGTGAGAGAGACCTGATATGTACATACCAGACCTAATATGAATATTCTAGACTTGACGGTTCCCGCCGAGCACGATTGTGCATTACCGTCTAGTGTCTGCCCTAGGCGCGCGCTCGTGGACTTCGTTGCGACTCGACTTATTGCGCGAGTATACGTCTTCTGGAGGTTATAAGTACATGCAGCAATAATATACTACATCCAAATATACTCCCTGTTGATAGCATCAGAACATTCATTGTATTGTGAGCAAGCCCGCGGCTTGGACCGGGCTCGGCACGATGTCGCCACAAGCCCAAGCCGGGCCCGCACATCACTACAGGCTCGCAGTGATAATCAGAACGCACAGCTGGCCAAAGGTGTCGCACTTCAACCGGCGCATTGCTATTACCACGGCTGGCATTTTTGAAATGACAGCTCGGATACGTAGCATTCTTGTTTCGAGCCGGTCGGATCCCAGAGGTCGCAGTATATATCGCTTGTAGATGGGTATCCTGCTGGGCCTACATCGACAACATAGATATTCACGGTATACTAGTACATACTATATAGCTCAGCCCAACGAAATATCGCAGCAGGAGGTTCAATTGCAGTACAGATCCTCTCTCTCTTCCGAGTGCACGTTCTATCTCTAACACTGGCACGCGAGACTATATAGGCTGCCTAAAAAACTATGTGGAATACTCAGTGTTGTGTACGCTGTGACATCCCAGGGTCCCTTTCGGCGGAGGCTTCGTCTTGGGTCGCTTGGGAACCCGGGTATCATCTCCCAATGATATGACTGAGTCTCACATATAGCCCACCGCACCAAGCATTTAATATGGCCACACGAGGGCACCCGCACACAAGGCATTTGTGTACTGAGGCTGTGGAGTAGATGGAAGAACCAAGCGGGTTTTCAGCCCTACATGCTTTACACAGAGTAGGATATTGCATCATTAGGATTGCTTCTATCATGCTTGCGCTATCCAAGTTATGATGGACTTAGTACATTATTGACCGCCACCTACTCTCAGGATGCGGGAGCCTAAAGTTACAGCTGGGAGAGAAGTCTATATGACACTAAACGCATTCTTAATTTCACCTAGCGGCTCCCATCTTCTTGCGACCAATGCCGCGGCCCACGAAGCCCCACTTGATCTGGGGTGCCTGGGTGACCACAACGCCGAGATCTTCGGCAAACTGCCACACCGCGCTGGGGTTTTTCTGGAAGTGGCGACCGACGAAGATAATGTCGGCCCAGCCGTTGGCGAGCACCTCCTCCGCAACATTGCCATCGCGGATGCCGCCAACGGCTGCGACGAGGATCCTGCCATTGACTGCCTTGCGGATGTGGTCCGCGAGGTACGCCTGGTACGCGGCGTGGCGGCCCTCCTGGCGCACGAGGGGCAGCTCCTGCAGAGGGTGGATGCCGCCGGAGGAGACGTCGATGAAGTCAACGCCATGCTTGGCGATGATGCTTGCGAGGCGTGCGGAGTCCTCCACGCGCCACGACGGCTCATCGAGTAGGGTGTTCTCGAGAATGTCGCTTCCATATATCCTGAGACGATGAATCAATACTCACATTCCGCTCAGAGTGATGCAAAGAGAGCGCACCTCATGAACAGGGGCATGTCCTCAGGGATGATGGCACGCACCGCGTCGATAACCTCGAGGTGGATGCGCCGACGGCCGTCCAGGACTGGGGCCAGGTAGAGTTATGTAAGACGTCAGTGATGGAATATCGGACAAGTGAGACTTACCTCAGCTCTGTAGGAAAGTCTCAAGGGGAGTTACCGCATGGCACGCACCACTGAGGCGCGTCGGCCGACAGATCCTTACTTCTCGCCAATCTCTTCATTGCCAAACCGCCCATCTTCCTCAACACCAAATCAACGCGACAGCTAGCATGGCTGCGCAGGGCGCCGAGCTCTTCGGTACCCATCCGGTCCAGCGCTGCCGCGGATTCGGCGAACACATCGCTGATGTCGTCGAGCGCCCTCTGTGCGATGTCGAGGATCCCCGAAGGCGCAGCACGTGCACGGCGTATGTGGTGGGTCAGTGGCTGGTATTTTCGATGGATTTACTTGGGGTGTTAAAACACGTGGATGCAGATGCTGTGGCCGGCGAGGTGTGGGATGTGGCACGGGCGTTGCTCGGGGCACCGCTATTCGGTTGCGGAGTCGTTGGGCATACGCGACGCGATAAGGATATCTCTCGAGAGGTGTATGCACCTGCTGTGCAAGTGCCAAAGGCGTAGGTAGTGGGCGGCTTTGGCGGACGGGGGTTGATGACGCTTGTAGGCAATCTAACCAACGCGAAAGTGGGCAGAGGACGTAATTTGGAACAAAGGAGAACAGGGCGAGCGCTATGATGCATGCTACTACCCTGCAAATAATCAGCTGAGCACGGCATACACCATTACACAACGGGAGAAATCCGGGTCCCGCATCCAGTTCCGCGCGGAGCGTGATTGGACATCATCGACATCTCCAGTCGGGTATCCAGTTGTGGCTGCTGGACAGCGAGAAGCCATGCTACTCCGAAAAAGACGATCAGTATCTGACGTTCGTCGAGCTCAAGCGGCGAACGAAGAGAAATGCGAGTCTTGCGTCTGTTCATGCTGTAGGCTGGGCCAAAGTCAACGCAGCTCACTCTTCGCACAGATCGCCTGAGTCTGAAGACAAGCTCAAGAGTAAAGCATCGACCTTTTTTTTATAATGTATCCCGGGACAGCGTGACTGACCGCAGCATGTTGAAGATTCGGCATCATCGGCACGCGAGTATCACGTGCCAAATCAGATCCGCTGGTCTTATCTTATCTTCACCTGCTCCCGGTTGCGCCAGCGCGCTGTTACACAACACCTCAGTGTTCACGGTATTCTCCCGTCCATAGATATTGAGACGAATAGCTATATATGTATTACTCCCACTCTCCTCCGACTGTCCATCCTGACCCTTTCTCGGAAGTCCATCACCGTCATCTAGGATCTTCTACCTCTACAAGCGTCCCGATGGCGAGTGCAACAGCCTGGACCTTTGTGAATCAGTTGAGTCCGGCGAGGCCTTTCAAAGCTCAACTGGCCACAAGCACAAAAGCAAGGCGAGACGGCAGCTCTGGAAAGCCCAATCTCGAGGGCTAGGCAGCTATGGAGCAGTAACGACGACAGCAACGAAGAGCCTGAGTCTAAACAGACACAATCAACTTCGGCCATCCGTGCTTGCCGCTTTTGGCCATTAATATTCGACATGTGGCAGAGGCACGCAAATCACGAGAAGTAAGCAGACACGTCATTGGCTAAATTCACCGGACCGTACCCAGTCAACCGGCCGTACGGCTCCATCCACCGCTCGCGATATCAAATTTACATGTTCAGGGGGATGCTTGCAACCCAGGGCAAGCGTGGCAGTCCCGACATGTATGCCCCTTTTTTCTCGTCGCACTCACCTGCACATTACTTTGGCAGTGTGATACCCAGTCCTGCGACCTTCGGCACTAAAATTTTGCTGTACGCTCAGGGACGAACCTCTGGCATGCTGCAGCCCAACGTCGGGTTGACATTAGAATTATTCACTCCATCAATACTCCCGCCGTTGATAATGGGCTGTCTCGTTGTCTGATCAACTCTAGCTCGCTTGCCATTTGATCTTCTGTTTTGACCCCCTTGAGGCCGACGGCAGACAACACCTCGATGGGTCGTGTGCTCTATCTTTGTGAGTGAGATAACTTATAACGCCGCAAGCGGTCACGGTAAGAAGTGCTTGGAATCCTGAAGACCACGCATGACCCTGAGGATCACGTCTACTCCTACTTCCAGGTGCTTGGAGAAGTGCATCCACAGCTAGTAAATGTCTGTTTATATAAACAGCAAACCGTTCTGAATCCGTGTATACAATTTAGACTCATCTGGGGATATATCGCATGGGATAATCGCATTTCTGGATGGCGCTTCAGATCAGCCCTTCGGCGTTCTGATCTGTGCCGTTGCAGATGGGCTTGTAGTTCAAGCGCAATGTTGTGCGCAACCTTACCATGATGCCACAGTAAGCCGTCTATCAGGTCTTAGGAGGATTACAATACTTACCGCCGATTATTTAACACATATAGCCGCTGTGACATACTCAGGGGTCCAGATGTTGCTCCATGAGGATGTTCCAGTTCCTGAACGGCAGCCTCACATGCCAGTCGTCAATGATCCTACATTCGCCACTCTGACAGGCTTGAGAACTGGAGACGTTCAAGAATAGCTATGACAGTGCGGGAAATCTTTTTGCATTTCTAAAAAGGCTGTGCTGTAGCACTCATTGTTTGTTAAACCTTCGTGCTGTGGGTCCATGTTCTAGCAATTCTTTGTCGCTTGTAATAGCTAGATGCACGCTCCTTATTTTAGATATACCCGAGGCGACATCTCAGATGTAGTTTGGTTGAGTAGCTACTAGTTGGGTGAGAGGTGAGCGCAGAGATGACATTATTGTGGCAGAATATTGCCTATTGAAGGACAATGGCCATGGCAGCTGGTACATCCCCGGCATCTGCCAGGTGATTGCTTTGAACATCATCTGATCATCATTGTTAGCATATGGTCAATAATAAAGTAATAAGTGTGCTTGCCCCGAGAAGGGAAGCTTGTAACAGGCCTAGTGCCACTGACAGGCCTGCGCACGCATCCACAATAATTCTGCCCTCGGCAGTGACAAGGTTTTACACAGCGTTGCCGGAGAGTACTGGCTGCCGTCTGATGTCACTGAAGGGACGGCTGGAGGCCGGTAACTTACCCTACACAGCCCCAGCTGTCAGATAGGCTCATGTACGGCAGGAAGGCCATTCATTCGGGAAAGAGGAAGATGAACAGTCATCAGCAAATAAAGCGGTCACAGATAAGTGCTGACAAATGCTTGCCATTCTGGCAGACGCTGAGAATGCAATACCAGCCAATACCATCCAGCTGGCATTGGCTGGTATTGCATTGCCAAGCGTCTGCCAGACTGGTTGGCGCTTGCCAGGTAACCCAGCACTGATCTGTGACCTATTTTTTGCCAATGGTTGCTGAACACAGCACTAGAGAAGGAGGGCCCCTATCTTTCCAACTATACCTCTGCAGACCGGCAGTGCTGAAGTACTGAAGCGTCAACGAGACGAGGTTGCGGCATGTTAATCGTGCTGAGCAGGTCTGCTGCTCATGATGTAAAATTCAGGTGGAAGCATTTCCCCAATGCGGAGTGCTTTCCTTTTCCGGAAGGCAGGCGATGCGACTCAGGCATGCGCTTCTCCCGAGGTACACTAAGCGTCAAAAGTAAATGAACACCCACACCGCTCGGGATCCAGCCTCTATTGTGACACAAATCTCGGAGATACTCCCATGCTTTTATTTGTGTGGGCTCTACATGGTTTTGGCTTGCATATTTATGAAAAATTGTAATACATTGGTCAGCAGGAATTATACAATGGGGCTGATTTCTAGAGCAACTTCTGCATGCATAATGTAGGTTTAAATGCAAAATTTGTACTGCAGCTTAAGAGCCTTACTAACAACTGTTTGTGGAGTCTCCCTTGCTTGAACAAATATTTGAGGCCCTTTCAGATATTTTACACAAGAGAGTTCATGCTCTGAAATTTTAAGGAATGGAGGTGCTACATGTCCTCCCAGAAGTCCATGTGCATGCTCTGGTGCCCAAATAGTTACAATATTACTTGGAAGAGCAAATAAAGATGCGATAATACAAAACAGCTCATTAGAAAGCAGTTATTGGGTTGAGAGAAGGCAGTTGTTGGAGGAAGTGGCATATTGGACAGCATCAATTAACTACATTGTGTCCCAGCATTGCAAATCCCTGTGATTATATTTTAAACCTTTCTCAATCTCTTGTATACTATATTGAGAAGTATTGTATTGGCCTGTGTTGCACCATCTTTATGTAAAAAAAATTCTGAGGCACACTTCAGAGGCAACATGCAAGCAGTCCACAAAGGAAGGCACCCATGCTTTGCCTTCATCCTCCTGAGGCTCTAATTATAATTCTGTCAAATAGCTGCAAGGTTTCTTGGCTCACTAAGCAGAAAAGTGAGACCTTCAGTCTCTAACCAAGAGTCTGTAGTGGGAGCCAATGTGGGAGGAAGAATGTCACTAAGGTCCATTAATAGCTGGAGAGCTCTGGGAAGCGTGCTTCTATAAATAGCCCTAGTAACCAGGAATAAGGGGTAAAACATCCTACACAATTTTCTGAGTGCATAGGCTGCGGCATTTTGGCAGAGCACAGCCAAACTTCCATTGGAAGCACCAGTTTAAATGTGAGTCGAAATATCATCTGCTCATAGCACTATCGCTTTTCACTCGAAGCTTTCAATATTTTATATTTGGTATTCCCATGTATATTAAATCTCGCACAAATATTTCTAGCATTTAATACCCAGAGCTCGCAGAGAATGAGAGTGTCAGGTGGATGTTCATTTACTTTTGACACTCAGTGCAATTCCCAGCCATCGCTGTCGCTTGTATTCCAGCGCATAGATGTCAAAGGTTTGTGAGCTCCGTTTTCCATTGAATAACCAGGGACAATCACAGAGTCTCTGAGTCTGTGTGAAGCATTCTTCCGGCATTAGACCCCTATGGACATGATGCAGACAGTGCAGATAGCACTGACTGAGAACATCGATGGTGGAAAGGAAGGTTGCACTTCTGCAAGTATACCAACAGCCTTTTACTGCATGAGAATATTGATTGCTGACTTCCTTGCTGCTTCAATATTAATTCGCTCACAACAGAGCCAAGTTATATTTGGTTCTGCACATCGCCTCTTTAGTGCCAGCGCTTTCGGAAGCTCGGTGCAATATTTGACAAAACCCTACTAGCAAGGGTCACAAATGAAAGAAGAGCAATGATATATATATATATGCTGACAGTTACTTATAAACTGTACAAGCAGCAGCTACCCTTGATATAACTTGCCTCCCCACTTCCCAATGCTGAGTATGTCGGCACAGTCAGACCAAGCTCTTGTCCAAGCCTACATGCAGCTGTAAGCGCTACTCCTGCTTGTGGTCAATGACCTGGTACTCATACCTTTGTCTTATAGTATCACGGAACACTATATTGCCACAGCTGCCGCAGGCAAGTACATTTCTTGTGTTTAGTTGCGTTACTCATGTACTCCCTGTTCCCTCAGCCCTTGTTGTCTATGAGGTTCTAATTACCATCAGTGATGAGATCAATATTGTTTGGAAAAGACCTGTCACTGCATCTGCCGTACTCCTTGGCTTGGTGCAATGGTGCATACTTCTCATGACTGTCCTGCAAATTGCACCAGCAACAGAGAATGTAAGTCTAAAACATCTTTGATTATGTGTAATTTGTAACATCTTTGTTTACTTGCAGCCTGACGAGTAAGTACGAATTTTTGAGGCTTACAAACAACAGGTTGCTCACCAGAACCTGACACACAGCTGCATATTGTTGGAAATTCTGAACTGGGTATTCTTCCTTCTTGGAACCCTCTAAATTGCACGTATGTCTCATGCAGCCTACTCAAATTGGGGCTGCCCACTGACTTTTACATACCAGTCTTCTCCTCTCTACGCATGTTCGCAATTTGGAACAGGAACTTTGTCTGGTCACTGGCAGTGTTTGCACTAAGCATGGTGCCATTCGCAACAAATCTAGTATGTATCATCTCTGCTTAAGCGCCGCTCAGATGTTATCTGAGCCCTCTACATAGTATAATGCTGTGAAGTTGAAGTACACCTTTATTACAAATCCACTTGCTGGAGTAATATGCATCTCGGAGGGTCTGTCCTCCGCACGAACAGACACCATGTAGGTGTCCATATCTTGCTGCTGCACTTTTGTAATACTAAATTTCTTCAATATAGACGTATGTTCCGCGGTCAAAATGTTGTAACATGCCGATGACACTGATGTCACCTGCTCACAGTCGTGTATATCACACGGGGCTCACTGGTTCTTGCCGACACGATTATGCTTTTCCTAACATGGATTAAAACCTTTGGAACCTGGAAGAATACCCGGCACCTCAACATTAAGGTGTCACTGACAACGTGCCTGCTGCGCGATGATCAGTCGCTCTCTGCGCGCCTTCACATTTCCCGTTACTAACGCTTGACTGCACATGCAGGGACTATTTATTTCATGTGAGTGTGACTATAGAGCTGCGTCAGAAGGGATTGCTGATGAACGATGATGGATGTAGAGCTCTGCTTGCAATAAACATAGCTCAGCTGCTAACAGACGCTTTCCCTTTGGTACGTCCCAACAAGAGCACGCAAAATGATGGCTGATGTCGAATATAAGAACCAAGCACTTATGGACATGTTTGTAACTATTCTGGTGCGTACTCTGCGCTACTTTTACCTTTTTTGCAATCATGAATTGGCCACGCAGCCATCGGTGCTCATCAGCCGCTTTTTAATCAATCTGTGGATGGCAGGCTTGGCAAAGTCGGATTACTCTTTGCATATGAGCAGTTGGCAGCAAGGACAGCCGAAACTGCTGTTCAATAGGCCAATGGATTGGCTGGGAAGTATTGGGGGAACGCTGCAAGACGGCTGGGGCGACGAACCCCGCAACGAAGAGAGAGATGCTGCAAGAGTGGATGAAGATTGAATGAAGATTGAATGTCATGTGACCAGTGCTGAAGCGAGCTAGATTCTGGATCAAGCGGGTGGTGGCATTTGTAATTTATGTGGGAAGAAAGCTTGAGGCTTTTCTATCAAAAGATGTCAATCCGGCAGTGTACTTTCGGGCTCAGCGACGCGTAGATACACGAATTTTGAGGCCATAGCACGTCTCTACACAATAGGTAGCTCCACTCAGGTATTTTTACGCAGGATTTGCACCATGAGTTTGGGCTCGTCCCACTAGTGCTGTCAACATGATTGGCTGCAAGACATGCACTGCTATGACATACCGCTCACAATGTGGTTCACATTCTCAATCTTGATGAACAGTGTTCCGTGCTCGCTGTCTGGAGCCTGACTGTTTCCACAGAGTTCATGCGAGACCTTCGACATCCACACCAACATCCCGGCAGAGCAGCTGTCTCACAGTGCGATGACCTTCGCGTCTGGGAGCACAGCTTCTGCATTCAGAAGTGTCCAGTGAAAAAGGCCGGCATGGTCAGATTGCGAAGCCTGCAGGATAGCGACGAACAAGCCCAGATGTGCAGTCCACTTGTATGAGTTCAGCACCTTGGCTACCTTGCAATTTGCACGCTTTGCCAACCTCTCCCCCTAGAACGATGACTGTGGCTTCTTCTCATCAAAAAGTAGGAGTAGAATTGTCTCTGCTTCATGTTTCAGGACTATCTTGACCTAGTGTATCTCAGTAAGGCGATGGCTGAATGACCGTGAAAGGAGCAAAAGGAGCGATCATATTGGGATAAAATGAAGAGGACCAATAGTGTTGGTGTGTGTTGCAGTGCGCGGGGAAACAGTAATGGCTACGTTATGAGCCACGCCTTGAGATAAGTAGTCTGATCTGACAAGACCACATATGTACCCGGTTCAGAATACTCTAAGCCAAGCCAACGCTGCATTCTGAAGGCTTCCCACTCAAATGCAGTGTGAACAGCCAGAAGGGGTTGTGACACACGAAACGGACAGCCTGAAAAACAGGTCAGCGCAATTCAGCAAGACCTTGAGGGAAGATGAGCACTTGCTTTGGAAACGAGTGTCGCTGATGACGTTCCTTGCGCAATTTTATCTTGTTCATAGGTTTCCAAGCTGGTGCTGTAGTACACATCTTGGCGTTGCAAGACGAACACCTGGCTCCCCCTTGATAACGCAAATGGCAGGCCCAAATAAAGCCCTTACAGGTTGCTGTACACCTAGCGAGGCTAGCGAAGACGTAGCAGTCAGGAAGAGCTTTCATTGGCCATGAGGGTGCAGTATGCTGTTGCACAGGAGATCGGAGATAAAGGAGAGCAAGCATAGACAATATTATAACATTGAGGTTGCGGTCAGCCGTGGGAGTGCAGACATCGATTCGATGATGAAAATCTAGAATACCGCTTAGCTCACAACAACAGCAAAAATAGCAGGACAGAGACACACTTAAAGATCTCGCATCCTCCAGCGGCTCTCTGCCTGCCAGGGTGCCCCACTTCCTATGCAATTCCTCGCAGCAAAGCCACTTTGCCGGCTTGAGTATGTTGTGATTGCGTTGCTTGCCTTCTCGAGATCCAGAGAGAGTAGCAGAGTTCGATACAGTCATTCTTGCGCGACATGATTGTGTGCTCGAATCTCCGGCGAATCCTGAGATAAGGTGCGTTTTGCTATCTAATTTTTGTTGCAAATTTCTGCTTACCCTCATGAGGAAGATGCCCCAAAATTGCATTAAAATTGTATCAAAATTGCCTCATAAGGACCTCATCAGGCAAATTTTGTGTCATGATACACATCACAATGCCCTAATGCATCCTGATTGTGGGAAAATATTTGCGATAATTTAGCGCTATGGATTGGGCAAGTATCTCTGTGTCACGTGATTTTAGGATCTTGAATGCCACGACACTATCAGACCGCCTCCCCCTACATCAGAGAAAACTCCTGGAGATAATTAGAACATAACGCAACCTAATTAGTCTTATAGGCTAGTTAAGACAAATTAAATCAGTTGCCAATTAGGCATGCTTGGAATAGGCCAGTTAAGAATTGCTTAGACGCATACAAGATTAGACATAAAACCAGTTATGTCATATTAGACATCAGATAGCAACATATACATGTGCTGGGTATATGGAAATACTGCAGCTACTTGCGCACAACAACCAGTAAAGGCACAAAAGGGCACACCACTCCACAATCTAATCAATCCAGCAGCCAACAACTCGACCTGACGGCCAACAATGTTAGGCATCAAGCACCATGAAGGCAAACGCACTGTCTACAGCTTTATCAGCATCTTGTACAGCAGCAACCATGCCGCTCGCATAGTTTCTGCCATAGAGTTCTGTTACTGATACCGAACATATCATAAACAACTAGATAACTTATGCAATGTTCATGTATACCTAATGCATGACCTGGTGGTACATCTGCAGACTTGCTTTCTTAACACGGTCGAGAAATGACAGAACCTTCTTGTACTCTTTCTCAGCCTCTGTGATGTTGTAGTCGGAGGCTTCCTTGCACATTCCAGATGTCCAGTCAGCAAGAGCCAACTTGATCTAGATCAAAGCCATCAACGAGGCAGGTCAATGGAATGAACAAAACATACCAAAGCACATGCGAGAGCCAGCATTGGCTCTGGTATTTCCAGCTCATGAGGCGCAAGGTGGACACTCGAACGGAATCTGCTCGTGTGCTGAGCAGCAATTGATGGTCGTGAACGGCCTGGCTTGAAGAATATGGTGGCAATGATCTGGGTGATTAGTGGGCGATTGAACGGTTCTGCACCATTGATCATGCCCTACCATAGTATTATAATGTGTCAGTAACATGCTATAGCCCATGTGTTGCAAGGACGCACCGTCATTATGTTCCCTGAATAGATATATGCCAAGTCAGTACTAAGTCGTCTAATCCTTTGCGCAGTATCGGGTTCCTCTGTGACAAGGCCGTACTCGCTCGCCACTCCTTGGTTTGAAACTGTCTTCAATTTTCCACGTAATAGTGCATTGCGTTGCTCGCACTGCAAACCATGCGATTAGTATACTTTGTATACATACACCTATTTTAAATTGTACGTACCAGCTCTACAATCTCCCGTGCAAAGTAAATGCAGTCGCGCAGTCGGTCCTCAACAGGTCCAAGGCTTTGGTCTTGCGCCTCAGTAATGACAAGATCTTGTTGTGCAATGAAGTGCAACTCTACCAGGTAAATTCCTATGAAACACAAGCGTAGGTATTTTATTGTAGCAAGAGGATGAACAAACTTGCCTTGGTGAAAGGCCATATCACCCTGGCACCGAGAAATACATCCTTTCCCAAAGGCAATGATATGCGCCTGCTGTTTATTAAGGGCCAGCTTACCACGGTCGTTAAGGATTAGCTTTGCCTCAGGATGGACCATTCCTTTCCAGCCCAGTATGTTTGCAACAGTCTGATGAGTAGGGGCTCCAGCAGTTGGATATACAGCTCCAGGCTGCAGCAATGCCGGAGGGCTGGTGGGTGTAGGTACGGAGTCATTGGTTCTGTTGGTCCCACCACTATGTCCAGTGAGAGCACCTTGTGGGACCGCAGCTCCTTCTGTTGGCGGGGGCATTGGCAGTGGTGCACGCCCTACAGCCGCCATTGGGGCTTTGACCAAGACTGCGGTAGTAGGGGCTGATACCCCGACACCAACCTGCATAGCATTGGCCATACGGAACTGAGGTCACTGAGGCACATCAGTCAGGCTGATTGCTAGCGCAGCAGGAAAGAATACATACCTCACGAGTGACCTCCGCTTCATTGTGAGGCCACCTCCGCTTCTTCTGCATTTCTTTTGAGTCACTCGTATCTGCTGCCTTGCGCTTCTTTGCTGCGTGCTTCTTATACTTTTTTGTGGTTGCTTCTGACACGAAGAGTGCAATGTTGGACTCCTCACTCTGTAGCACAAGTAGTTAGTTATCTATGTGTAAAGATAATCAAATATTAATTATACCTCAATGAGTGTGTCGAGTTCAACAGCTTTCATGTTGCTTGTGCTATTGGCTCCGTTAGCTTTTGGCTCCATGGTGTTGGCTGTCTACAGAGCGATTGCATGAAATAAGTATTATATAGAAGGTCACAGAGTCTGACTGTAGTTCCGTACCATGTTTAACTTCTCCTCGTCCTTGTCCTCCTCTTCTTCACCAGAAGTCACACTGGAGGACTCCAAGTCAGTCTTGTATTTACTCCCAGAGCTGGCTGAGCTCTCAGTCAAGTCTGAATTGCTGCCTCCATCTGACAACACAGAGCCGCCGTTGTTGTCAATGTGCTTGGGCAGTGGTTGCACATTTACATGACTGCGACTTGGCACAGTCTTGGCTGTGAGCGCAATGGCAGTGGCGGCAGCAGCAGCGGTAAGGTTGGTACCAGCTGTGTTGGCAGCAATTATCTTAGCTGCAGCAGTGGCGATGGCAACAGTGGTCTCACCGTGGTTTGCAGCAACATTGGCAGTCTTCTTCCTGGTGCGCTTGGGCTTCACTACAACTTTCTTGGTGGTGAGTGCGGATGCCACGGCAGGCCTGTTGGTGGTCTTGATGAGAGGCTTGTTGGGGTCAGAGTCATCGTTGAGAAGTTGACTGGCAATGACGGGGCAGTTGGCTAAAATAGACAGGTGAGCTTGGTCTTATTTGTGCAGGTGGACCTACAAGCTACATATCCAGGCTTTGTTTGGCCAGAGCATGCCCAGGCTGGGCATTCTCCGTAGGCTGACTGGGCTTCTCCACAGGCTTCTTCACCTTTTCCCCTGTGTTCTCTTCATTAGCTACCATCAACACCATGTCAAATAGACCTGAAAATGCCTGCGGTATCTTTCTTGGTCTTCTTTTTCTTGGGCTTTTCCTTACCCTCCTTCTCAGCTGCGTTAAAATCCAAGTCCCACGCTGTTATGCACAGTGGCCAACGAGGTACTACAGCAAAGGCTGCTTCTAGCAGCAAGCAACATACTGGGATGTTCTAGTAGGTCAGTTTTGGTGCGACGAGAAATATCTAGAAGTGGTGGGTGAGTACCAAGTGGTTACAATTTGGGACAGACTTTACTGAACTTACTGAAGATGATGTTTGCTTCGTCAAGGTCAGCCTGTTCTTTTGCAGCACGTTTTGCAGCATGCTCAGCACAAGCACAAGCACGGTCATTCTTCAAATTAGTTGTAAGCTGCGGTACAGCATCACCGGCAGTGGCTTTGGCACCAGCTTGAGCAGCATCGGTGGTCATATCTGAAAGTCAAGAGTGAGGGAGGACGACAAGAAGAGGTGCGAGGGGGGGAGGTGAAAACTTTGCGAGGAAGTGTGGGACTTTACGTGATGGCGTGCTCAGAAGGTGAAGCTAGCTACGGCTTGTTTCAGCCTCCCGTGCTAATCAATACGACCTTCGAGGCATACCTACCATTTCTTATACACTGTCTCTGCTATGCCCATCTGTAAAGGATGCCACAAGTCTTTCTCTTGCATGGATCTCAATGTGCATACCTCTCAGTCCAAACAACCCGGCTGTCAACACGTAAACAGCACTTTGGCAACTGTGCCATTGGCAGAACCTGGCCCAGATGAAGAGCTCGAGACAATGCAAGTTGATGATCTTGAATCAGAGCCTGCCGTATTCAAGGGCGACTTTTTTGGGCAGTATTCAGCTCAGGACCTGCCAGGCTGGGGCGAGTTGGGAGCAGAGTTTGATGGAGTGGCGGCCGAGCTAGACTTGCCAGGCTCCAACTCAGAGCCAGAGGCCAACGACTCCGATGTACCACCTCTTACACCAGACGTCTCAGATGGAGACGACAGCGATGATGACAGAGACCTTGTCAAGTGGGCAGCTGCATCTCAGCTGATGTGGGAGCCAGAACCTGCCAGCAAGACACTTCCTGAACTTCCCGAACTTGCCATGCCACCCAGCTCTCTACATGCAGAGTCATTGCAGTACAATCTCAACAACGGCAAGGTCACTCACTCTGCTGCTGGTACAGATGTTGATGCTGGTCACATGCATCAGCCCTCGACACATTCAGACGCAAACATCCATACCGTGGATGAGGCCAAACGACAGCGCATGGAAAATGCGCTTTGCACAAAGATCTATGTGCAGAAGTTTCTGTCAGAAGCCGCTGGTGCACCAATTAAACCTAGTATGTCAAACAAGACCAATGCAGTACACACAGGCTACAACAAGTACACTACCAAAATTCAGACAAGTGAGAAAAATATCTACGCACCATTCGCAAGCAAGCTTGAATGGGAGTTTTTTCGGTGGTCAAAGCTTCGTGGCCCAGGTTCGACTGCACACAATGAGCTTCTGGCTATTGAAGGGGTGAGTACACTATATGCAGGTATGAGCATGGGGACTAAGAGAGATTCCATGTTTATCAGATGCAAAAAAGGCTAGGCTTGACATTCAAAAATGCACGAGAAGAGAACAAGCTTGTCAACTCGCTGCCATTGCCATGACCATGTTTTGAACACCATGAGATCATTGTTGCAGGAGAAGCCTTCAACATCTACTATCGCAACATGATTGAGTGCGTACGTGCGCTCTATAGCGAACCTGAGTTTGCTGCACACCTGGTGTTCCTTTCTGAGCAACACTACTCTGATGCAGACCATACACTCCGACTCTTCCACGAGGTACACACAGGGAAGTGGTGGTGGGCTGCTCAGGTGAGTTGGCCGCACAGTACATCCTGTTGAGCTGTGCTAAACGAAAGAATTACAGAAAGCAGTTGAAGCAAACACACCTGGTGATACGATCATCCTCATCATTCTGTCGTCTGACAAGATGCAGCTCACCCTGTTCTGTAACAAGGCAGCATATCCAGTATACATGACCATCGGAAACCTTCCTAAGGATATTTGCAGCAAGCCGTCGCGTGGCAGTCAAATTTTGCTAGCTTACCTACCAACCACAAAACTCGAGCACATCACCAACAAGGCTGCATGACGCCGGACATAGGCGAACCTCTTTCATGCCTGTATGCAATGTATCCTTACTCCTCTGGATAAGCCTGGCCAAGACGGCATGCCCATGACCAGTGGTGACAGCATTACTCAACGTACCCACCCTCTCTATGCAATCTATATCTCAGACTATCCTGAGCAGATCTTAGTCACTTGTGCAAAAAGCGGTGATTGTCCGGTTTGCCTTCAGCCACATGACAAGCTCGAGATCATCAATATGACGTATCCATCCTGTGATATTAGTGCAGTGCTTGAGGTGGTTGCGCAGATTGAATCTCTATCCCACGCTGAGTACCGAGAAGCTTGTCAAGACGTTCACATCAAACCAACATATCGGCCGTTCTGGGAGAACTTGCCCTACTCGGACATCTTTTGCTCTATTATGCCCGACATCCTCCATCAACTGCTGCAAGGCGTAGTCAAGCATCTCATTTCCTGAATCAAGACGGCGTTCAATGCAGATGAGATTGATGCACGCTGCCGGCGGTTCCCTTCCAATCACAATGTTCGACTCTTCTGTAAAGGAATCACCAAGCTCGAAAAGCTGACAGGACGTGAGCACGCAGACATTTGCCAGATACTTCTTGGGCTTGTAGTGGACATGTGCTTGCCAAGTGGAATGTCCTCTATATGTCTCATCTGCGCTGTGCATGCACTACCCGACTTTGATTATCTTGCGCAGTATCTGACACACAGCCAGCACACTCTTGATGCCCTTGAAGATGCGTTGCAGCGCTTCCATAGCAACAAAGACATCTTTGTTGATCTCGGCATCTGCTCCGACTTCAATTTCCCAAAGCTCCACGCATTTCCACCTGTCGATCGAGTATATGGGTTCTGCCGACAACTTCAACACAGAGTATACTGAGTGGCTGGATATTGATATGGCAAAAGATGCGTACCGGACTACAAACAAGAAGGATGAATACGACCAGATGACACTTTGGCTGGAGCGCAAAGAGAAGATACTACGGCACGATCGATATATCAAGTGGTGCGAGAGTGGCAAACTTCCACTGACCGAGCTTAGCCCTCTGCACCAACATCACGATAGCCACGTTCTCATAATGCAAGAGCCATCTGCTAAGGCGGTTTCTTTCTACCGTCTTGGTGCCGAGTATGGGGCTGTCAATTTCGAGAAGTGCCTCTCGATGTACATTGTCAGGCTTAACAACTCTCAAGCTTCTCCGGCATCAGTATGCGATCTCGTGTCAACGTTGTGTCTCGGGTTTCAGAAGGTCCCAGTCTATCACAAGGTAAAATTCTGGGAAAGTGACTTTTCTCAATACCGGCATGCTTCAGATGAGTACAATGTCATTCACGTCACTCCTGCACATAGCGACAAGCGTGGTAACATTATCCCTGGTCAGTTTGACACCGTATTGGTGAATCTTGGTAACGGTGTACCGGTTGGCATCACTAGTGAGTACCAATTGTAGAGAAATATCATCAGGCAAGTTTGGTAATCGCAGTTGGAATAATTTCAGGCTATCATGTTGCACAAGTTCGGGCAATTTTCTCCATTCCAAAACGCAAGATTGGAACACTTTTCTCAAACCATGACCCTCCCAAATATCTTGCATATATTAAATGGTTCACATCGTTCACCTGTTCAGAGGCCAACCATGGCATGTACAAAGTGATGCAGACTCTTCATGATGGCAAACACGAAGCAAAAGTTATCTCACTTTCAGAAATACAGTGTAGTATACATTTATACCCTGCGTTTGGGCCTGTAGTCCCCCGTGAATGTTCTAGTAGCAACATTTTGGATAAGTGTCTGAAATTCTTCGTTAGCAGCTTTATGAATTGTCACATCTACGGAACCGTCATATAACATTGTTCTAACTGTAATAAGCTGTCCCCTTCGCATAGGAGCTAATCACTAAGCATCAATGATAGAGTGTATGGGCGCATAGCAAACTGAAGGTGTTCATCCCTTGGTTCTGCCTCGAATCCATCCACAACTCACTGTAAACACTCCTTCCAGGCCATGTTCTGGAGCTCCACCTCAGCAAGGATTCTGTACAAAAACTGAGCCAGATCTGCAAAGGCTTGGTTTTCTGGGCAAGCCTTGAGCTTCTCATAGATGTGTCGAGTCTCCGGGTACCACCAAGCGGGACGCTTGCGAAGGATTACCTTGAACAGTTAGGGAGCTGGGATGCGCAGCTCTTCGTTGGACTCGCCCTCAGAGTCTGGAACAAACTCTTGGCCGTCGGCATTGAAGTGCGGCCTTGCTTCAAGCTCGTGAATGCGCCGCATAAGGAGTTCACGCGAGCATCCCAGGTATGGGGTTGTTTGTATAGCCTGGTCGACCATCATTGGCGAGGATGCATAGCACTTGTCCCCACATGCGCAAACTGCTGGGATGACTGGTTTGCATGGAGTTGGAGTTTGTGGGAATAGAGTTGGGCTTTGTATTGTTGGTGCTTCGTGTTCAGGAGAGCCGGGCAGATAAATCAGGCCTGGCAATCCTAGTGAGAGGTTGGCACACACAGAGCCAGAGTATAAAGCTGCATGGCACACCTTCTGCTATATAGGGCATTGTTTGAGGCCTCTCTTGACCCTCACCAGCATCCAGACGTCTGTCACCCAATTCTCCGTCGGCTAACGCTGAGTTCAAACAAAAGATACCAGCATACCACTGAGTCTCTGTTGTTTGTGAGTCCAAAGCACCGCCCGGCATGTAATAGCTGCAAAACAATTATGAGCTCAACAGCTGTCACCTGATATATTCAATTCATGTACTTTTTGATTCTTCTGGCCTGCGGTGAGCTAGGACAAAGCTTGCGCTTGCAATTCAACGTGGCTGTAGAGTCCAGTCCATTCACATGGTTGTCGTTGTGCAGTGGTAGCAGGCTTTGAGCAGTGGGAGGGGATGTGCGAGGTCGGAGCATGATGGCCAAGGCAGAGCAATGAAACCACAAAACTGGAGGCTATTATTATCATGGATTGTAGGTAGATTAGGAGCCATTAAGGACATTTGAAGTGTACGGCTTTTAAGGCGCATAGCCATGCGAGCTTGAAGGTGCCATGGAATAACCCTAACCTCTGCATCTTAGGCGCTTTAGACCACAGTATGCTGAAATTTTTATACGCTACGCTAACTACAACCAAGCTCATGTCAAATTTACCTGGAGGGTTTTCCCTGATGTAAAAATTACGGCCGCATCTCCTCTCCTCCATTCAAATGTCTCTGCCACGATGGTACCACATACTCATATGGTTGAAAGTAGCAGAACTCGGACAAAACAAGCCTGGTGGCGTCTGGGAGTTGCCAGCACTTTTAGCGCAGGTAGGCCGAGACTGACCTCTGCTCTTCAAATTCTATGCTCACCATGAGTTGGTCTCCCCCTTGCAACACATCTCTCAATGCAGATTCCCTCTTGAGAAAATTACTCTCGAACATATCCTTAAATATGTCTTGCGTGATACCACTGGTGCAACTCTGCAAATAATGCTGCCCGAGCTGCGGCATATAAAACCACCATATCTTGCCTTAAAATGTCTCGTAGAGTTCTGCCTGCAGAACTTGTTATCTGGAAGCATTAATCGCAAGGGAAATTAGTTGGTCAGAAGCATATCATCAAGCTGGGGCTGGGGCTTTGGGTGCATACGTGTATTTACTGTCAGTCAACTGCTATCTGAGGATTCACATAACACTCCAAAATGTCAGGCTCAACATGACGTTAGCTCACTCCTGTGCGACTTGCTGTGCACCACTGCTAGGATGGACCCCTTTGAGGTGATGGTGAAGGAAACGTAGACTTGTAGTGCAGGCATAACGAGAAGGGCGTGCTGCTGTTATGATCTACTGGAACACATTTTAGGAAGACTGGCCACGTTCAATTTCAAACCTTGACTCGTTCTGAAAGACCTACGAGCGGCGCCATACAGCGTAGTGGCAGAAAAGACAAACGGGCTGAAGCTCAAGGATGACAAGATGCCGAGCTAGGCATTGTTGCACTGAAGAGCAAAGTCGTTGAAGAACGTGTGAGCCATGGTGCATTTTATGCAAAGCAGCCTAAAGCCTTGTACGTTTCTTTGGCTCTCAAGGCAGCTTTCACTCACCAAGGTTATAGGGACAACGAAGACAAGGTGCTTTGCAAAGAAGTGAGCCGAAATGATCTTCTCGCTCTTCCTCGCTTTATCACGATCACTACCATGCTCTGGTTTCATTTCTTCATCAGCTCTGAGCAAACACCAGCTCGAACTCAGCCAGATATGCTTAAGACGCATATTATTCTATCGTTGCAAGACATTTTGCGTGGCTACCCTGTCAGTATTCACATAAGACATCAGTAATATGGTCTCATTGCACTCAACAGCTCTGTATGCAAACGGTATGAAGTGCACAAGAATCTTTGCATGCTGGTCATTCAAGAGCGATGCCCACATATATGTCCACCTTCTATTTGCAAACGCGAAAAATTTCGTACTCAATTTGCTTTGCAGTGCACAATACTTTGCGAGCCAGGTCGCGCTTGGCTTGCCCGACGAACTGAGCAGACAACCTACGCTTTGAGGCTCTTAGATCGATCAAGCTCCTATCTTGTACACCTGCATTCAGGATGTAGAGCGCAACGAATGGGCGACTGCGATCCGCAACACACAGGCACCACTGGTGGCATTGATGCTCACCTTTCAAGTGTACCCTTCATTATGGGCTCGGGCGACCTAAAGCCTGAAAAGGGCAGCGGATTTGCACGCATCTGTGATATCTGCTGCAAAGCCATCTTCCCTGCGACAAGCATTATCCTGACATCATCTCTCAAAAGTTTCAGTTTGGCAGCCCAGACATGGGAACTTATTAAGTTACACTGGACTAGCCACCCAGAAGCATCCAAGAGCGGCTAAGACACGCTGAAGAATTTCCGAAAAGCCCAAAAAATGGCACAAGCAGGAATTGAACCTACAGCCCGAAAGTAACCACAGCGCGCTATACCACTAAAGCATAAAACCTTGCAAATATAAGCTTGGAATTGTCCTATAATACCACTTTTCTACCTCAAAGTCTTAGCTGTAATATTGTAGCCAATTATCAGGTATTAAAGCATTGGAATGTAATTGTACAAAGGTATATTCTAATGGCATGGCTAAGACATTGAGT